TGCATCTTCAGAGCGTTGAACCATCGCTCGTTCGTGCTCATTCTTGAAAACGGCCGCATAGTGTTGAGAGTTATAGTTGATACGTCCTTCTGATATAATACCGAGTTTATTCTCAAGAATACGGAATTGAAAACTTTGGAAGCCCGACGATGACTTGAGATATTTTCTTAAATGATATGTTTGTATCCAACTTCATTGATCAGTTTTTTAATTTGTCTCAGAAACAACTCTCCGAATTCATTACGGTTACTGATAAAATTTCATTGCGAATGGCTTCCATGTGACTGACTTTTTGCGTGCTGCTTTACGCAGGTAATAACAATGAAAATTATGATCTTACGATTGTTTCTTTGATATCAAAGGGTAACAATGTGAGTAGAAGATATCAGATAAAATCAAGATTTTGATTACCTAAATTCAACGAAATCCAGCGGTGACATCGTCTCAAGAATGAGCATTTGATCAGTAAGAAGTTTCAGTATACGAACAATTCTTTCAAGACCACTAACGATTCTTAATGTTTTTGTTTCATCAACAATCTGTTAATATTGATTCGGTGATTCATTAGTTTTTGCAAAGTCTCGATTAAATTGTTCAGAGGTGGGCAAAAAAACCCAAATTACCGAGAAAGTAAAACAAAATGAATGAGTAGACAAATGGAACTCAACTTATGTGTAAATAAATCTGAATACTAATCGGAAAAAAGAGTGCTTTCGTGCAAGGAACGTACTTTATTGTTTAAATATGCCATGATATTATCCATTTCAAAATTGATTTGTTTGAACCAAAGTTCATAGACCTGATGAGTAGTGATAAAGAGATGTTCATCATTGACGATATTTCCATCTTCCTCCGAGAGCAGTTTTTGACATGACAGTAGTTTATCTAACTGTAAATAAAAGATTTGTTTCGATAAATAACGAAATTTTCCATTGACTTTTCAACATTTCCTCAGTCATTAAACATTTCTCATGACTGAATGTTGTTGAGGAAAATATTTCAGATCTTTTCAGCATAATTCTTAAACTGAAGCAATTAAACGCATCTTTCAAACTTTGTTAATGCATCTCCAGACATGAGAAATTAGTCATGTTCAGTCTTAGGGAGTTCTAGCGATTTGTGAATATGTTGAACCGTTTTCGATGAGAAAGACATGTAATGAAAGGTATTCAACAATATAATATAATGTGCTGTTTACATGAATCAATTTAATGATAATGATAAATGTAATGGCAATTATAAATCATTTCATTATCTCTGACATAATAATTTTAATATCTGAAAACATTCCCATCCAAAAAAATTGAGCCTTAATCATTAGCTGTGGGAATAATGCACGCAGCTGTTTTACGACAGATCGTAAAACGAATCTGTTCTCGTTCCCTTGAAGGAGCACTGGAGCGACCTTTTTTCCACAGTCTTCTATCAACGTTCACATATGTAATTTGCTTGATATCATTTCAAAAAATATTGCTTCAAATGGCTACTATGTCGTTTTTTTAATTTTTCCAATATTTTGCCAGTACAAGTATATGCACAATTAATTATAGGTGGTACACTTCTACATAAATGTGTGTAGTCGGAGAAGGTGGAAATTTTCTGCTCATGAAAGGTTCAAATGAAGAGATGAGATCAGATTAAGTACTTGAAGATACTGTGAATAGGTCATGCCGCCATTTTGATCAGTTGATGTGCCGTTGTTGTTGTTTTGGCTAATTTCTTTGGTGATTTTAGTGTCGTCCAACAATTCCAGCTGATAATTACTAAACGGACATCGACCATGCTCCATTCGACTCAGATTTCTTCTGAAGTAATTAAACACGATTAATCAGTATTGGAGCTATGCATATAGGATTCATTCGAATAGAAATATAATGACAACATTAATCAGAATAGACCATTTCAGACATCTCTGACACAATTTTAGCTGTAGAGAACATTCCTATCCCAGAAAAACTTTAGATAAATTTGTGCATTTGAGGAGGATGAAACAGTACTCTTTGGCTATCTTTCGATGCTCCGTAAATGTCAAATATGACGAATTGTGATAAAGATAGATCATTTTGCGAAAATATTATCACTTAATGAAAGTGAGGAAAATTTATGTAATCAAAGAACACACAAACGTCCGAGTGATAAGATAACAATTAATGCCGATTAGTAATATAACTCCGCTATTTAATACCGATTAGTTATATAATATGAGCAAAGGTATTATTATTATAGTAGCAATAACATTCAGCTTCTATATATTTGTTGAGTCAAGAACGAGGAAATTTTCTGCTCAATACACTAACAGAAATGTCTGCGACAATGTTAACATTAATTTGAAACTGATTATTTTCATTGAACAATATGAACAAACGCATCGTCCTGTCACAAGACCACTATGAGAAAGATAAAGATAATAGTATTCAGCTAAATGAAAGCTTGAAATGAATATTGATCTACACAACTTAAATTAAAACATCGGAATCATTACACTAATCATGGAAAGATATTAAAGATATTAATTTATAACATATTTATTTAGACTGCAAGCAATGACAATATGATAACGGAAGCAACGCAAAGAGATCATCACCTGACCAGCATTTCTTAACAGAAATTCTGCCCGATTTGGGTAATGATGGACAGAAGCGAGTTGATATCTTCAAGAGTGANTGATGACCCGATATAGTATATGCGTTTATGAATGGGATGGTCATAACTTTATCACTGATTGTTAGATTTGAGCAATAGCGGATGCAAGGGACAATTGGTGCTGGTTATGCCGGGGACAAATAATAGCATATCAATCGTGTTGATAATCTTGTTACAAATGATTTTTATAAAACATAACTACATAACAATAACAATAAGAGCCTTGTTCATAAATAAAATGAAAAATTCAATTATGCAAAGAGAAAACCTATTCTTTGCATTGCAATCAATTGATCTAAAAGCAAAACGATTTTTCAATCTGACCGAAGAAAAAAGTTCAGTATTGTGTAAAAGGAAACGTCAAAAGCAATTTTCTGCTAGGATAGCGATGTCAAACGGAAATTCAGCAAACTCTTACTCGTGTAAGAACAGTTACGTGGGAATGATGTGAAACGAAGAGTTTCAACTGAAAAGGAAATACTTCTGTCAAACATACTCGTAGTAATGTTGAGAAAAAAATGCAACTATTTTTTGATAATTCCACCCACTTGGAACCAACGTGAAGGTTACT